ACAACACAGAGAGACTTCACAACATTGACACACCCCACAACACAGAGAGACTCCACAACATTGACACACTCCACAACTTAAGATACACTCCCAACATTGACACATTCCACAACATAGACACACTCCACAACATTGACACACTCCACAACATAGACACACTCCACAACATAGATACACCCCACAACATAGACACACCTTACAACATAGACACACCCCACAACATAGACACACTCCACAACATAGACACACCCCACAACACAGACACTCCATAACATTGACACACTCCACAACATAGACACACTCCACAACATTGACACACTCCACAACATTGACACACCCCACAACATAGACACACCCCACAACATAGACACACTCCACAACATAGACACACCCCACAACACAGACACTGCACAACATTGACACACACTCCACAACATAGACACACTCCACAACATAGACACCCCACAACACAGACACTGCACAACATTGACACACACTCCACAACATTGACACACTCCACAACATTGACACACCCCACAACATAGACACCCCACAACATTGACACACACTCCACAACATAGACACACTCCACAACTTAAGATACACTGCACAACATTGACACACCCCACAACATAGACACTCTACAACATAGACACACTCCACAACTTAAGGTACACTCCACAACATAGACACACCCCACAACATAAACACTCAACAACATAGACACACTCCACAACATAGACACATTCCACAACATAGACACATTCCACAACACAGACACACTCTACAACTTAAGATACACTCCACAACATAGACACACCCCACAATATACACTCCACAACACAAACACTCCACAACACAAACACTCCACAAACAGCACCACAACACAAACAGCACCACAACACAAACACACTCCACAACACAAACACTCCACAACACAAACAACACTCCACAACACAAACACACTCCACAACACAAACAACACTCCACAACACAAACACACTCCACAACACAAACAACACTCCACAACACAAACACACTCCACAACACAACACTCCACAACACTCCAACACACACACAACACACTCCACAACACACACACTCCACAACACAACACTCCACAACACAATAACAGCACTCCACAACACAACACTCCACAAACAGCACTCCACAACACAAACAGCACTCCACAACACAAACACTCCACAACACAAACAGCACTCCACAACACAAACAGCACTCCACAACACAAACACAATCCACAACACAAACAACAATCCACAACACAAACACTCCACAACACAACACTCCACAACACAAACACTCCACAACACAAACACTCCACAACACAAACAGCACTCCACAACACAAACACTCCACAAACAGCACTCCACAACACAAACAATCCACAATACAAACACTCCACAAACAGCACTCCACAACACATACACTCCACAAACAGCACAACACAAACACTTCACAACACAAACACTCCACAAACAGCACTCCACAACACAAACACTCCACAAACAGCACTCCACAACACAAACACTCCACAACACAAACACTTCACAACACAAACACTCCACAAACAGCACTCCACAACACAAACACTCCACAAACAGCACTCCGCAACACAAACACTCCACAAACAGCACTCCACAACACAAACACACTCCACAACACAAACACATTCCACAACACAAACCCACTCCACAACACAAACACTCCACAACACAAATAGCACTCCACAACACAAACACACTCCACAACACAAACACTCCACAACACAAATAGCACTCCACAACACAAACACTCCACAACACAAATAGCACTCCACAACACAAATAGCACTCCACAACACAAACACTCCATAACACAAACAGCCCTCCACAACACAAACACATTTCACAACACAAACACACTCCACAACACAAACACTCCACAACACAAATAGCACTCCACAACACAAACACATTTCACAACACAAACACATTCCACAACACAAACACATTCCACAACACAAACACACTCCACAACACAAACACACTCCACAACACAAACATTCCAGAACACAAACAGACTCCACAACACAAACATTCCAGAACACAAACACTCCACAACACAAACACTCCACAACACAAACACTCCACAACACAAACACTCCACAACACAAACACTCCACAACACAAATAGCACTCCACAACACAAACACACTCCACAACACAAACACACTCCACAACCCAAACACTCCACAACACAAATAGCACCCACAACACAAACACACTCCACAACACAAACCCACTCCAGAACACAAACACTCCACAACACAAACACTCCACAACACAAACACTCCACAACACAAATAGCACTCCACAACACAAACACACTCCACAACACAAACACACTCCACAACACAAACACTCCACAACACAAATAGCACTCCACAACACAAACACATTCCACAACACAAACCCACTCCACAACACAAACACTCCACAACACAAATAGCACTCCACAACACAAACACACTCCACAACACAAACACACTCCACAACACAAACACTCCATAACACAAACAGCCCTCCACAACACAAACACATTTCACAACACAAACAGCACTCCGCAACACAAACACTCCACAACACAAACAGCACTCCGCAACACAAACAGCACTCCGCAACACAAACACTCCACAACACAAACAGCAATCCACAACACAAACACTCCACAATACAAACACAAACAAACTCCACTCCACAACACAAACACTCCACAAACAGCACAACACAAACACTTCACAACACAAACACTTCACACACACACTCCACAAACAGCACTCCACAACACAAACACTCACAACACAAACAGCACAACACAAACACTTCACAACACAAACACTCCACAACACAAACACTCCACAAACAGCACTCCACAACACAAACACTCCACAACACAAACACTTCACAACACAAACACTCCACAAACAGCACAACACACACTTCAACACTCCACAAACAGCACTCACAACACAAACACTCCACAAACACACTCCAAACAAAACACACAACACAAACACTCACAACAAAACAGCACACAACAAACACTTCACAACACAAACACTCCACAAACAGCACTCCGCAACACAAACACTCCACAAAACAGCAACACACAAAAACACACTCCGCAACACAAACACATTCCACAACACAAACCCACTCCACAACACAAACACTCCACAACACAAATAGCACTCCACAAACAAACACACTCCACAACACAAACACTCCACAACACAAATAGCACTCCACAACACAAACACTCCACAACACAAAATAGCACTCCACAACACAACACACTCCACAACACAAACACTCCATAACACAAACAGCCCTCCACAACACAAACACATTTCACAACACAAACACACTCCACAACACAAACACTCCACAACACAAATAGCACTCCACAACACAAACACATTTCACAACACAAACACATTCCACAACACAAACACATTCCACAACACAAACACACTCCACAACACAAACACACTCCACAACACAAACATTCCAGAACACAAACAGACTCCACAACACAAACATTCCAGAACACAAACACTCCACAACACAAACACTCCACAACACAAACACTCCACAACACAAACACTCCACAACACAAACACTCCACAACACAAATAGCACTCCACAACACAAACACACTCCACAACACAAACACACTCCACAACACAAACACTCCACAACACAAATAGCACTCCACAACACAAACACACTCCACAACACAAACCCACTCCAGAACACAAACACTCCACAACACAAACACTCCACAACACAAACACTCCACAACACAAATAGCACTCCACAACACAAACACACTCCACAACACAAACACACTCCACAACACAAACACTCCACAACACAAATAGCACTCCACAACACAAACACATTCCACAACACAAACCCACTCCACAACACAAACACTCCACAACACAAATAGCACTCCACAACACAAACACACTCCACAACACAAACACACTCCACAACACAAACACTCCATAACACAAACAGCCCTCCACAACACAAACACATTTCACAACACAAACACACTCCACAACACAAACACTCCACAACACAAATAGCACTCCACAACACAAACACATTTCACAACACAAACACATTCCACAACACAAACACATTCCACAACACAAACACACTCCACAACACAAACACACTCCACAACACAAACATTCCAGAACACAAACAGACTCCACAACACAAACATTCCAGAACACAAACACTCCACAACACAAACACTCCACAACACAAACACTCCACAACACAAACACTCCACAACACAAACACTCCACAACACAAACACTCCACAACACAAACACTCCACAACACAAACACTCCACAACACAAACACTCCACAACACAAACACTCCACAACACAAACACTCCACAACAAGAAACAAAACAACGGACTGGGACAAGACTGGCCAACACTGACCACACACACACGCGCAAAACTCAATACAGAAAAACAAACATAACACAGACACACACACACATAAATCAGAGCATAAACCAAACCTGTCCACACGATAATTATAATGGGGCCAAAAGTTGCCTGCAAGTCAATATTCCCCCACACACACTCCCTCACTCAGACCAACACTAACAAACACATTCACAACAAAATAGGCTCTTTAGAATTAGCATTCTGCTCCAACATTTCCACGTCAGATAATGAGAGGAAATCAAAAGACTCAGGTGTTCAAGTCGGGGGCGGAGTGTAGGGAGGGGGGAGTAGGGATGTGATAGGCTGAGAGATAAGCAATAGTGTAACAAGTGATAAATGAGTATGGAAACTGATCAACCGTCAACCGCGGGCACTTGTCACGTGGTCCGGCTTGACACACACGCCGGGTCCCACTTCTCTCCCACTCACAAATTTCACTAATTACTAATTCTACTCAC